AAAAAAAAAAAAAAAAAAAGGAACCTCAGGAGGTTTCCCGGTATAAACTCAGATGCTGACATTCACAGAGGTAAAGTTCCAAAGTCTGTGTCAGAGTGAACCAGGCTGAAAATCTGCCCTGGTATGTACATCAACTGACTCATTCTTAGCACAGTGAGCAATACTTCCAGGATTGACAGTTGATGAACCAGAACAGGTCTTGAAATTTAGGGCTATTCCAGTTCACATTAGACCTCGAATAGCTTCTGAAAGTAAAAGTCGATCACTTCTGACAGCAGTCGTGAATCTCAAGACTATTAAAGAGTGTCAAAATGGGTGTCTAGGTACCTGTAGACACCAATTTGGTAAGTAGCATTCCATGAGATAGTCAGCCTTAATGAAATGAAAAACCCAAGTCACAACACATGGGGTATAGGTTGTAAATTGGAAATTTCTCTTCCACTTACTCTTTCAAAATGTCAGGTAAAAGGCTGTAGTAAACTGACTTTCACGGTGCATCTGAATACATGACCTTTGCTATGCAGGTATTTATGCCTCACAACTGACATGTGAAAAACTTACAGCAGGCAACTATATACCAGCGCAGTCCTTCTTATCTCCCTTGACAGCATCTGGGGATCTTTGGGCTTTAAGGACAACCAAAGTAATCCAGCTGGGAGTTACAGGTGCTCAAAATAGAGATAACCAGAATGCACTTATTATGAAGAAATGTCCAGTGGAGATCATTTCTAGACAGGCAGCGAGCTAGTCAATTAGGAAGTCAACAAATATTCACTGAACATCCACTCTGTGCCAGGTCCTACGCTGGGTACTGGGGATATACTAGTAAACAAAACAAGGGGATCACTGTCCTCAGCGGGCTCACAGTCTAGAGTCCTGGGAAGGTAGGCAGCACCCAATCAAGAAGCCCTCAGCAGTGCAAGTTGCCCATCTGAGGTAAGGGGGTACCAAGCAGTGTCTACCTTGATGACTATTTGAGTTCAGAAGACAGGCCACTGTGCTGGGACAGGGGACAGATAAAAAAGACTTTAAAATTCCTCAGGTTTCTACTGCCTCTTGGTTCCCGGAGTATGGACTTCAGAGACAGCAGCCAGACAGGAAAGCATCTGCACTGGGGTCATGAATTAGCCCCTTCATAATGGGGTGGGCTGGAGCGAAAGAGGAAGTGCCCTTCAGCAGGTGCCTGCAGATAGGCCTGGGGGTTCTGAGAATGGCCACATCCAGGGGTAGCTTAAGTCTCTGTGTATATTTTTCTTACTAAATGTCCAATGCTGTATACCCTACTGAAAATCAATCAACTCTTCTGAAAAGTGGCAGCCTCAACTCTGTCACTATAGGGAATTAAGTGAAGGGTCTGGGGCCACACTTGGGAGAAACGAGGTCCAGAGAGAGCCACAGCCTCAGCCTGAGGGAAGAAAGAAGTGACCTGCAGCCCAAAGAGTAGCGGCCTAGGGGAAGAGAGAAGCGGTGATGTAGAAGTAGAGCCAGCTGGGGGCCAGCAACAACCAGAGCAGATCCGTTCAGTTTCTCTTAGCCTTAGTTTCCTCATCTGAAAAATGGGCATAATACCAGTAACTATTTCACAGGGTGCTGTGAAATTAAATGTATTAATGGAGGTAACCACTTAACAGAATTTGGTATATAGTTAAATGCTCAATAAATGTTCATTATTACTATCATTAAAGCAACAGGATCCGTGTGCTTATCTTCAGGGACAGCATTTGGGAGGGGGTGTGAGGAGTTGTGGAGACTACATCCTGTTCTATAGGTGGAATTAGGCTCCAGGAGAGAGACAGCAAGGGTCAGAGGGAGTGGTGGAAGCTGAAGAAAGACAATGAGAGCAAACTGAGTTTGAGAGTGTTAACAGGAAAGAAAACCAAAGCACCAGGAATCCACACACTCCTAAAAGGTCCTGGGTCTGAGTGGTAGAAAAGTCCACATGGCATTCTAAGTCAGTTAGAAAAAGAAAAGAATTCAGCTAAAAGAAGGGCGGGGGGTTTGTTCATTTGTTTGGTTGCTTTTGGACTGGGTTTAGTGAGAAGCAAAATAAATTTTCTTAGAAGGAAGCTAAGAAAATATATATTATTATTTTTTAAATTTCTATAAATTATTTTAGAAAGGGGAGCAGGGGCTGGATCAAGACAGGGCTAACTCATGAGGGAGCTGAGAAGACAAAGGGAACACAGTCTGTGTTCTCTTTAAAGCTGGATCTGGTCAGATGCTCTACTGCATCTACATGGAAGCTTGTGTCCATTTTCTTCACCGCTTCTGTGAAGCCCTCATCCACCCACTCAAGAGGAGTGGTCTGAACGTGTGAGAGTGGTGGTCACAGTAACTTACTGTGAGGGGACACACCAGAGGTAAAAGAAAGCCTACGTTCCGGAGGCCTTTGCGGTCAGTCCCAGTTTCCATGGTAATTATAAAGGAAGGGAGCTGGCTGCCAGCTCCTTACCACTGAAGGTTCATAAAACAAAGCATGAGTGCTAGTTTTAATCATAGGAGTCAGGAGGTTGGCCAAGTCTAAGAAAGTAAATGATGACCCATAGAAAAATGAACCAAATTGTTACTTACCAAATATCTTCAGGCCAGCCATACTTTATTAGATCTTCATCTACAGTGAGATACAAGAGAACAAAGAAAAGGTGAAAAAACTGTCAAATGAAGGTAGGCCAGAGTTTATAGTAAGTTGGGAAGGGGAGAAATACTAGTCCTTTCCACAACTTGTTTTCTCCCTTAAAGAAGAGTAATTCAGAGGCTTTGATGCTTGAAAATACAGAAAAAAACCTGTAAGAATAGTTTTTACAATAGGACAATTATAATCGTTATAATTTTCATAATAATACTTATAATTTAGAGTTCAAAGATATTTCTATTTGAAGATAATAAAACACTGACAAATCAGAGCAGCTGAGAAGTTAGATGATATCTTAGAAAACTGGTTTCACTGTAATAATACTTAAAGGTTAAAATGGTTTTGCTAAAACTTTAAAACTAATTGACTGCATTTTACTTCTTTAAAAAAACCTCTCAATTATACAATTGTAGAAAATTAGGAAAAATAACACAGGAAGTATAATAAAGAAAATAAAAATCACTTAAAATTCTGTCACATATGAAAACAAAAATAAAATAGAATAAATAGCTAAAAGTTAAAAGTAATTGTCTCTGGGAGGTGGAAAATGGGTATTGGAAAGGATAGGGCAGGCAACTGACAACTGACGTTTTTTATTATGAGCATTCTGTTACTATTTGAATTTTTAAACTATGTATTTGTTAGATAAAAAATAAAACTTTTAAAAGTTCTTTGGAAACAATGACTATTTAATTCTATCATACGACTAAACTTTTCTATTGCTAACATTTAGGTTATTTCTAATTACAAATGCTTCAATAAATACTTTTTAAATAAATACGTCTATATTTCTAATTATTTCCTCCAAGTGTATATCTAAGAGGTGGAGTATTAGTTGAAAATGTATACACAATTTTAATGCTAACAATATATATCGCTACAGAAAGGTTATATCAATATATATTTCTAATAGCTGTATTAATAATTAGTAACCAATTGTGTTTAATACAGAAGCATTATTTAAAGTATAAGATATCAAGTTAAAAACCGTAAGGTAAACAAAATGATGCAAATACGATGATTTAAATACTCAAGAAAGTATAATCTATCTAACTTGAATGGGGTATTTATTTTCCAGAAAAGCAAAGGGATAATAAACTTGGATGAGGGTACTCTTAGCAACTGCAGAACTATGAGTTTTCTGAAGGGCTTTCTACTAGCTTAAGTGGGAAGCTGAGCAAATAGCCAAAAGCTAATAAGAAAAAGTAAAGGGAAATAGAAAAACCTCTTTTCCTCAGTCTGGCAATGTTTGGCTCCCTGGTGACACCTGCTGGCTAATAAAAAGAACACACCTGAAAGCTTTTTGGTGAAAAGTAAATCATTCAATTTAAAATTCATTTATGTCCCATCCAGTCCTTAGTCTGAAGTCATCAAGGCTATTAGAAATAGGTGTGATGTGCAAGGAGCACTAGAGAACAGGGTGCTTTAAAACTGTAATACCTTTCTTACAAGGCAGACTAGGCAAGTTGACGCCTCCAATGACTCCAAGAGCTCCAGGGGAAAAAGTGTTCTATACACAGACTTTTTCTACATACATTTTAATGACAGCAAAACACCTCTCCAGCGGGCTCTAGATAGAATATAAATTGACATCTGTAGACATAAATTCTATATCTACATTTAGATCTGCAGATATAAATTCCTACAATGGACATTTAAAGGATTTCTCAATCTAGCCCATCCTAACCCACTCCTCCACAAAACCTTCTCGGCTCTCCTTTATTACATTTACTCTCTCTGTCCCCTCTACTTCTACAGCATTAACTATTAATTCATTTCGCCCATACTTTTTTTTTATAGACTTTATTTTTTAGAGCAGTTTTACGTTCAAGCAAAACTGCCCCATACTTGTTTTTGTGTGGGCAACTGCCTGAACCCTGTGCAAGCACAGATTAAATCTTCCTCTTTGGACACTCACAGAGGCTGGCATATGGTCCCACACAGATAGGCCCCAGCAAATAGTAAACTAAAATAGAAGGAAGAAAAGACATGTGAGAATGTCACTGGCACAGGTGCCTTAGGTCAGCTCCACTGCTAATCCATCAGGGTGCACCAGAATCAGCACAGCCCTTCACTGTAAGAAACATACCGAGCCCCCTCCCCAGAGCTGCACAATGCAAAACCTGCACAACCATACGTAGCAGCTCTGCTTTAGGTGCTTCTCAGAAACCTAAGCCTCGGGTTCGCACTTTTGATGTGGTAGAAAAAAAAGTAGATTTGGTCAGGTTTAGATCCATATCTACTGTAAACAACCATGATTCTTGTAACTGCCTTACTGTTCAACCTAATATAGGGAGATAGCATCCTCTCTCAGCTACATTCATCAGGAGAATGCTATGAGAAAAACACAAATCACCTATGACAATTTATGGGTTACTAGGAGAAATTTAAGACTCAAGTATTAACATACTGCAGACTGCTTCTCCATTAAGTCACACCCAGAGCCAATGTCATAAAGTCACTATAAGAAAAAAAACTGTTTAAAAATGAGAGTTATTCTGTTGTTTTTGTTTTTCTCTCTTGGCTAGGATGTGATAGTCTTGCTTATACTGATTCTGCTTTATGGCAACTCATGTTACAGCAAGGTTCTAAACTGTTCATATGGATCTGATTTATAACTACATATATTTATGTAACTATTATATATATCACATTATATGTGTATAGTTATCTATAACTTATCACTGCTCTTTGACATCTTTTAATTTTTGGCCTTATTTCACTAATGTCAAATGTCTCATATTGAAGAATTTTACACTTGCCTCTTTTAAAGGCATACAAAGGATCAAGTCTAAACTGTTGTCAGGGCCGGCCCCGTGGCTTAGCGGTTAAGTGTGCGCGCTCCGCTGCTGGCGGCCCGGGTTCAATCCCAGGTGCGCACCGACGCACCGCCTCTCCGGCCATGCTGAGGCCGTGTCCCACATACAGCAACTAGAAGGATGTGCAGCTATGACATACAACTATCTACTGGGGCTTTGGGGGAAAAATAAATAAATAAAATCTTTAAACTGTTGTCAGTTTCAAACTGCACCTAGAACAGACACTCATGGTTTCAGAAAAGAAACAAAGAAACAAACACAAAAGCAACATGTGGGGGTTAAAGAAAGGTAACTATTGTGAATTGCCAGCTCTCAGACTACCACAGGCAATCATCCAGCCTGGAGGGTTCCCAGGGGAGGGAGGAGGCCGCTCTGCAGAGCTGAAGAGGCTCCAGTGAGTGACTACTATTTACTGAGAGCCCACTATGGGCCAGGCCCTTCACCCAGGCTCTTTCACCTTACCTTCACAACCCTGCAAGGTAGATATCGTCCCATGATCCTCTTCTTACATCTAAGAAATCTGAGCTTCAAAGAGGTTAAGTAACTACAGCTAGCTTGCTAAAGAGCTGGGATTTTAATCCAGATTGGCCTGACTTCACAGCTGACTACAACATTGCAGTTCTTTTCTCCCTACCCTCAGCGTTCCACACCGTGAGGGCCAGTGCTGTTAACTTACTACTCTCTCGGTCAAGAAAGCTAAACTTCACTTTTGTCTCCTTCCTCACTCATCCAGTCAAAAAAGCTATCCCCTAAACCAGTGCTTTTCTTTTAAACTTTAGTTTAAATTCATTAGTGGGTCAAAAAATTAATTTATCAGGTTGAGACTAGCTTTTTGAAAATGAAATAAAACAGAAAATAAAGGGCACAGCAAATAGTAAGGGTATTTTTTGTAAATTTTTTTAGTCATGTGAATGTGTACATCATTTAGTTATATGAATGTGTATAGTATGAAACAACGTATTTCATTCTGAGGATAGTGGTCAACAACAAAACCTGTTAACATTTCATGACTCAAAAAGAGCCTTCTTCAGGGGGCCATCCCGTTGGTGTAGTGGTTTGAGTCCATGCGCTCCACTTCAGCATCCTGGGGTTCATGGGTTCAGATTCTGTGTGCGGATCTACACCACTCATCAAGCCATGCTGTGGCGGCATCCCACATACAAAAGAGAGGAAAACCTGGCACAGATATTAGCTTAGGGCTAATCTTCCTGAAGCAAAAAGAGGAAGATTGGCAACAAATGTTAGCTCAAGGCCACTCTTCCTCACCAAAAAAAAAAAAAAAAAAAAAAGAGCCATCTTCAGCCTCAAAATAGCCAAGATATGTTTCTGCTAATCTTAAATGTGGTAAAAATGTACAGAAAATGATCTTTTCAAAGTCCAAGTCACAGATTATTTTTATTTGATCTAAACTAGCACAGGTTAACCTCTGATTCATATCACCCTAGATCAAATGACACCACAAAACTCTTTGTAAAGTAAGTGTCTAATCAGCACCAGGTGGTCCAATTAGTTCAAATATTATTTGGTATAACTAATCCTCTGGAGTTCCTTATAATGGGTTAGTTAGTAGTAGTTAGTTAAAAATTCATATCCAACAAACCATGGGGGGAAAAGTCGATTAACACTTACCTGCCGGAAATTTCAAAATCAAATGCTTTTGAAAACTTACTTTCATATTTATCCTTGCCCATGTAAATAGTGTAAGCAGATGAGTTAACTAAGACAAAATAAAAACAAAAGACAGTTAGATAACTTCATCACTAACACAACTGTTTAACAGGAAAAATAAGTGACAGATGCTTGGGGTGAGGAGGTGGCAAGGCCTGGAGGCCAAATCCAGCCCCTCACCTGTTTTTGGACAGCCCTGGTGCTAAGAATGATTTTTACATTTTTAAAGGGTTGGAAAAAAGGAAAACAAAGAAGAGTAAGCTATAGAGACAGTACGTGGCTCACAAAGTCTAAAATATTGACTATCTGGCCCAAACAGAAAAAGTTTGCTGACCCTTATAAATGGCTACTTTCCTACTTTCTCAGGGATATAGTTCAATGCAATTCCAATTCAGTCCTATACTTCTGCCTTCTTCTAAGAGTTAAACAAACAACCTTCACCTCCACCGTTTAAACATAGGTTCCTGTACTTGTCAAGCATTTTTCATAATTTTATTTAGCCAATACTAGTTATATTCCAGGTGTGCTGCAAATTATAATGGGCTCTCTATCCCAATCAGGGGAAACATAACTCTGAAACTTCTTCTAAATCAGTGACTCTGATCCTGATTACACACTAGAATCACTTATGCGCCAGCTCTACCTCAGACTAACCAAATTCAAATCTCTGGAGGGTAGGCATTTGTGTTTTTTAAAACTTCTCCAAGTGATTCTAATGTGAAGTCAGCATTAGGAACCACTATCCTAAATCAAAAGGAATATTCTGGGTATGGCTTACCTTACGAATGACATTTGCTTTACTGAGGTAGTGTTTTAAAATGTGGGCATCCTCCATCTGGAGTCAAACAAAAAGCCAAGTTTCTTATTGAAATTATAACTGGGTACTGGGTTTCCAAGCCAGTCTACCAAAACTTGTTTGACCCCATTTGGATCTAAACTCCTGAATTAACAGTCTACCAAGCCTGACAGATAGGTGCAAGGTTGGGCTGGGCAGTCTGCAGGCTGTCACTCCAGATCACAGAACTACCACATATGAGTGGAGCTCTGAAGGCCAGCGAGCAGCACTCTTTCATACACAAATTCTTAAATTCAGGATTCCCTATACTTTCAGTAATGAGGCCCTCCTTAAATTATCAATCGTAGTTACCTCTCTTCGCGGAGTTGTTGACAGAAATAACTTGACAGGATAGGATGTTTGTACTGACTAGTTGACAGAAATACCTGTCTATAATTGAGCATTTTATTAGCTTGATAAGGCCTTAACATAGCATGTAACAAATGCCAGAAGTGCAGAAATTAAAAAGTGTTTCAGATTCTCTCTACACAACCTGGCACTATTACATGTATATACCCTTTTGATCATATAATGTCACCACTACGAGTATATCCCACTAATTTAATACTCCATCAAGCAATGATGTTCTTTTTACAACCTAAACACTCATTAGTTAAGACTGGTTAAATACATTATAGAACATCCAAAACAAAATACCATGTACCCATTAAAAAGGGTAGGTGAAGAAATTAAACAGCACAACAGTATTTCATATTGTATATTATATATAGTAAGATTTAATTTGTAAAAAATAAATGAATATATAATTGTGTATACATATACAAATGTTTACATATATTTTTAATATACACACCCATTTTTTTTATATGTATGGAAGGATATACACCTAACTGTTAATAGTAGTTACTTTGGGTAGCTGGCTTACAAAACATATAGATGGCTTTTGTAATCAGAACAAAAGTAATCTGAAAAATTATTCAAATAAAGTTGTCTCTGTGCAGGCCAAGCTATCTAAGTTACAGCCAGGAGAATGAGAGGAGTGTTTGGTCTACCTATAAATGAGGTGGTTAAGAACATAACTGCTAGAAACAAACTGAAGGGCAGTCTACAAAGTAATCCTTCAACTAACAGTGTCATGAAAGACAAACACTGATCAACTGCTCCAGATTAGAGGCTAAATAGTAAGGACAACTGAATGCAACAATTTGCAATTTTCCTTTGTTATAAATACATTTTTGAGGGCACTGATGAAAACAATAAAACCTGCTGATTAGATAAGAGTATTGTTGCAATGTTAATTTCCTAATTTTGATAATGAAGAATGTCTTTTGATAAGAGAATATCCTTGATTTTAGGAAAAAAATACTAAAGTATTTAGTGGTAAATTGCAACTTACTACCAGATGGTTCAGGAAAAAAATCCGTGTGTGTGTGTGGAGAGGGAAAGAGAAAGAAAAGGGGAAAGAGATAGGGCAAATGTGGCAAAATGTTAGAATTTGGGGAATCTGAGAGGATATAAAGCATATCTTTTACTATTCTTGCACCTTTTCTGAAAGACTGAAAATGCCAAAATTAAAAATTAAAAATAAAAAGGAACATGATTGCTGAGCAAGAAGTCTGAATTAAGCTCCTGCCCACGTTAAAGAAATAAAGGAAAAGAAAACTGAATTATTCTAGTACTTCTGTTTTTCTCACCCAAATAATATGGCAGATTAGTATGGGAAGTAGTTATCTTGAAGACAGCTTGATTCAGGTGTAGCAACCAACCCAATTTTAGAGGTGCTGTGATAATTTCATAATTTACAGAACAATCTATCTTGAGATTGATGCTACTAAAAGCTACTAAAATTACAAGTGGACTTAATGAGCCAAGTGTAGGTATTTTGTGACTGCATAAATCAGACGGTTTTAAATTTGACACTGGAAATATAGTAAGGCCAACGTTTCATTATTCCATTATTAGACAGCACGAAAAAAAGAAAACTGAAGAGATTTAGTCAGATACTAATCTTAACACAAAAGGAAAGACAAACTTTCTACAGGGATCTTCTTCCCATTTTTTAAAAAAAGTTTTTATGTAGTAAATCATTAGTTGGCTGAAAAACTTGGCTATCTATAGGAAGTCATTTCCTGAAGATTCTATGCTCAAATTGTTTTTTGTGGCGCAAAATGTAAAGTTTTACTACTATTTCACCAGAAAAGCTATAATTTTTCCATCAGCTTTGCAATTTTAAAAGATTTGCTGCACAAGTGCAGTTTTACTAGACTTAGAGGCCAAATATTTTTCCAACAGGAAGCAGTTCTGATGTTATAATAGAAGACAATGGGAAAAACAGGATCCACAAATCTGCTGAAGCCTTCTGTTCTACTAAGGGCACCTGTGTATGCATGACTAGCATTCAAAGAATTAAGAATAGCTTTAAGGAGAATAAAGCAGCTAGCATAAAATACATTTAGTACCTTTACACTCTGTCTGTATTTTTTATTTTATTGTTGGGCTTGTATGGATATCTATGTTGCTGGAGACTCTCATGAATGGAGAAGCTACAAAGAGATGCTCGAGTTATGACGGGGAGCAGAACAAGGATGAAAATGCTGTTAGGGGCCTATAACAATTTTTCAGGCTAGTTTGAATTTTGTTTCTAGTAATTTGAATAATACTGAATAACCGCTCCCTGACGCGGAGCGGTTAAGTGCATGCGCTCCGCTGCTGGCGGCCCAGGTTCAGATCCCGGGCGCACACCTACGCACTGCTTGTCAGGCCATGCTGTGGTGGCGTCCCACATAAAGTGGAGGAAGATCCCCATGGATGTTAGCTCAGGGCCCGTCTTCCTCAGCAAAAAGAGGAGGATTGGCATGGATGTTAGCTAAGGGCTGATCTTCCTCACAAAAAAAAAAAAAAAGAAAGAAAAACCAAATCTGCAGAAGCAGAGAATTAGCTTACGGCTCACTGTGGAAGTCTAAACTGCTGAGAAAAATAATGAGATGTGACAGTGTAGTAGAATAGAAAGAACTGGGCCTGTGAGTTTCAACTTCCCTGGGCCTCAATTTTCTCATCTCTAAAGAGAAAGTACTAACCTATTCAAACCCACACAAAGCAGAGCTAGTTTCACTTAAATCTCACCTTTAACAAGCAAGCAGAGAGAATAGTAATAGAATAGAGTATGCCATGAGTAAGTAAAAAAAATCATTCATTTATTCAATAAACATTTATTGAGTAACTATTATGAGCTAGCCACTATGCTAGGGAAACAAGACAAAGGAGATCCTGTTCCTGCCCTCAAAGGGCTTCCACTCTAACTTAGGCAGACAGCCTTTAGCACCATATGATAAGCGCAATGCAAAAAGTAAAGAGGGGATTTTAAAGGGGTCTGGAAGAGGTATATCTAAGCAATCTCTGGGCGGGAGCTGGGTCGAGAAAGGTATTTGGAGAAGAGAGGCCAGAGCCATCTTACCAGAGCAGACGTTAACTGGGGGGTTGATTCTAAGAAAAAGGAACCACATAAGCAGAGAAAGGAAGTTGAGACATAGCATTACCTGGGAACTAAAAGCCCCCTTTCCTTTCCTGCCAAAGACAAATCAAAAACATTATCACACGTCACTTTTCAAGATCTGAACATCAACTCTGCTCAGGGAGTGGCTGGATCGCCATTCCAGGGTCTTTTTATCGCTTTCTGTTGCATCCCAGGCCCTACAACCCTTTCCTAGAAGGGTAAGGCGCACTTCCTATGAGGCAGAGTAGTTGGCAAGTGTCTCCTTTCTTTCTCAAAGTGGATAATTACCCGGGAGCAGCCAGAGTAAAGCCCGGGGGAGGGGGGAATGGGGGAACGGAGGTGTGAAGAAGCCCACCGACTCGGCCCAATCCCAGGTAGTGACGAGGTCTTTCCAATCGAGGGAAGAGAACAACTCCCGGACGCAAAGACCACAGGGGGGAATGGTCCCTCTACGACCCCCAGGCCCTGATGAGGGGGCACTCGGGGACGGCGGAGGGGGACCGAGAGGACGCGGGGAGAGGCACCCACTGCCGACGAGGCGCCTTAGGACGAGGTCCAGGCTCAGCGGCGGCCTGGAGGTCCCGGCTTCGGAGCCCCGGCTGTTGAGCGGGGACCCGGGAGGTCGGGGCGCCCACTCACCGCTGCTGCTGGTGAAGTAGAACACCATGATCCCGGCGGCGGCGCAACGAATCCACCGCGCAGCAACAGCACCCAACTCGGGAAGCCTAAGATACCATAAGCGCCGAGGCCACCGGTTCCCGGGAACTCCTCCGCGCACTTCCGGCGTACGTCGGGTCACGTCACAACGGGGGCCGGCGACGCCATATTTAATCCTGGCGAACAGGAGGGTGTTGGCGGGCTAAAGAGCTTCAAGGAGTTGGGGGTTGAGGGAAAGAGGATGCGAGCGAGGACCATTGGTGTTTGGAAAACATAGCGGGGAAACTCCATCATCTTAAAAGAAAAATGGCATTGTCCACTTTATTTTCAGAACCTCCACCTATTGGGCGGTCATGTCTTGAGGCTTATCTATTGGTTTATCTGCCTCCCCTCACCTCCACATGGACTCCCTGAGAGCAGAAACCGTGCGCCTTCTTCACAGTTAGGCGTTCACTGCACCAGTGACAGTACTTGACACTTCGTAGGAGCTCATTAAATTTTGAATGAACCCAAATTCCTCCACTATTCTCATTCTAGCCCCACCACTTATAAGGTGCATGTCGGACACATTCCGTGCTTCACTTACTTCATCTGCAGAATAAAGACGAATAGAGCAGCTAGTTCATAGGTTATTTCGCTAGGGTTAAATAACTTGATAGGCGAAAAGGGTTTAGAACGTAACAACTCACTAGAGTGAGTTGTTAGTGATATACCCCAGAGGCAATCTTGGGGTTTGGATTCGGACTGTGCTGTCTTTAAATCTAAGATCTGCCATCTATTACCTATGAAATTGGGCGAATTCCAATTTTCCAATTTGAAAAATTTCCAGATTTCCAATTTGAATCTCAGAGACCTTCCAGCTGTAAAGTGGGAATAATCTTACCCACGTAAAGCTCCCGCAGCACTGAGCTTTCACTTGTTCTGACCGACTTCGTTCCATGAAGTGAAGTGCATCACTTAACTAAATTTATTTAGAACTAAAAATATGCCAGAGACTGCACCAGGCGCCGGTGACACAAAGATCATAACAATAGGTAACAATGAATGCTTCAGGAACCTTCCGGTTTCCTAAAGCAAGAACCTAGACGAGTCCTGTAAATAGTCATTGTTTTCAGGCCCTCAGTTTTATTTTCTGTAAAATGAGAGTGATGATACATATCTCATAGATTGTGGGGAGGAGCAAATGAAATAAAACACGTAAAGAGCGCAAGAATGCCTGGCACATAGCAGATGTTAATGCCATCATTTAATTTTTAAACTTTAACTTAAAAAATAAAAAATGAGCTAGAAACCTAAAGTATTACTAACAAAAAAAGTTTAATTATAAAGCTTCAAATGTGAAAAATAACTGCCTCGAGAATCTTGGAGAAACCACTTTACAAAAACTTCCTACGCCCAGCAACCCCAGAATACCTAGAGTTCAAGAGGATGCCTTTGGGCCGGCCTGCGGCTTAGCGGTTAAGTGCTCCAGCTCCTCTACTGGCAGCCCGGGTTGGGATCCGGACGCACACCCACGCACTCATTCTCCAGCCTGTGTCCCACATATAGCAACTAGAAAGCTGTGCGACTGTGACATACAACTATCTACTGGGGCTTTGGCGGGGAAAAAAAAAAGGAGGAGGATTGGTGATAGATGTTAGCTCAGAGCCCGTCTTCCTCAGCAAAAAGAAGAGGATTAGCGTGGATGTTACCTCAGGGCTGATCTTCCTCACACACACACAAAAAAAGATGCCTTTATTGGGCTGAAAACTACAATTCCCAGAATGCATCTAAACAAGGCCTTAGGAATGGAGCCTGCGCTGCCCCAAGGGCTTGTGGAAGGCGTGGTTTCCCTGAGAAGAGAGGGTTTTTTGCCTCCCAAAGGCGGGAGAATCTTGGAGACCGCCTCCCCAGAGGGCGGGGCAATGACTAGCGCGTGACCAATCAGCGAGCCAGCCCCTGGAAGCGCTGAGAAGCGGCGAATCAGAACGCAGCGGCTTCAGACTTGACTGGCGCGCAATAATTTGAATACAGTGGAGGAGCAACTGGCTCGGCTGAGGAGAGGTTGTGGGTTCTGAGGCGCGGTTAATGCTGTGGGGGGCCGGGGGTGGGAGGCCGAGGAGAACGGGGTGTTCTGTGGAACGTAGGGGTGCGCGTCAAGGAAAAGGAGCCTTTGCTCTAGCTTTGGCGCTCTGGCGGCTCGAGAGCGAAGCCACCGGTAGGTTCTCGGCACTTCCAGGTCTCCGGTTTCCCTCTTTCTGCCGCGGGAGCTTCCTTGAATTTTTGCCCTGACAGGGTTCCGGGCCAGCGGCGCTTTTCTCGCATACCTTTCCTCATTCCGCCCCAGAAGGGGCTTCCCTGAAGCCGCAGCTCGGCGTTAATTCCCAGAAACCCAGGTCTTTCTAACTTTGAAATTACGCTTACGTAATTTTTTTTTTCATATACCTGATCCGAAGGAAGGGGAAGGGAAAGCTTTTATTGAGCAGCGTGCCACCTGCTCGAGGGTTACCGCGCGTGATCGTGTTTATTTCCAGCAGCCGTAGGAGGCTTTTATTTCCTATTTTTAATTGCCACTGTGATATAGTGTTTTTCTTTTTTTTTACCTTCTTGGTTTAAATCTTTATTAAAGTGATTTGCTTTTTAAAAAACCCTTTTCTTGGATCTTTGTGGACCATCACGCATCTGAAAACTTGTTCAGACTTTTAAAGTACAATTTTGATATGGTGATTTTAATACACATTAAATGAATTTAATACACATTGGATGAATTTGGTTATTATAATCGTCCTGTTGCTTTTAGGAGTTCAGTTGAGATGTCAGCTTTTACTCCAAGGAAGAGGAAGCAGCATTCTTTGAACTGTGACAAGTGAGTCTCATGCTATTGGTAAACTCTTAAAAAAGAAAAATCCACCTTCTTGTCTTTCTTAGCTTCACTCTTAAAATTTCCATTCTTTCACTTGCCTACCCCTTGTGGCTATAGCAATATTTCATATTCTAATTATGGTCTAGAAATACTGTAAGCTTTCATAATTAATTATTTAGTGCCTTTGGAGGGAATCAAAGAGCTGTCTGTTTTCTGTGGCTTGAAAACGTATCTATAAAATCTTTTATTACTTTGCTCCTTTCCTCTCTCTCATATAATATTTAACATAGTATTTTGTATACCCTAAGTGCTCATCTGTAAGCAATCCTAGAAAGTCTGTGTACTCAGTACTTACTACATGTCATACCAGAGATATAAATTACTCCCCACAGAACAGGCCTTAGTGGGTCAGAATTAATCATTTTAGGGGATTTGTAGCCAATGGAGCAAAGTATATGGGCTATAATTTGTATATGGCCAAGATGTAGAAATAAGTTTTAAAACACACACACAGACACATATACGTATGCATGTATATCAGAGCTTCTTTGTAAACAGTGTTTGTTTTCACAAACATTGGCATCTTAACTTTTGAAAAATATTTGAATGCTTTGTTTGGTAAAGACAATTTGAGAATCCTACTGTTAAACTCATAGATAATGTATATGGATGGACGTTTGGTGGAAAAGATGTTTTTAATATGACCTACGGGTAGAGTTGTTAATTAGTTAGCGTCAGATTGATATAAAAATTGAAGCAAAAAACTTATCAATGGACTTTGTTTCTTTTCATAGGCTATTATCAGATATTCCCTCGAAGAAATTCATTTTGGACTTGACTGAAAATATATTTCCATCACCTAATAAAAAGCACATTTGCCAAAGCAGTGATAAAAACGAAGAAAAGATGCATTGCTCTCAACAAGACCATTTCATTTCAAGTCCATTTAAAACAACTAAAAAAAGTAGATTGCCGTCTGCAAATCAAGGTTCACCATTTAAATCTGCTGTGTCTACTGTATCTTTTTATAACAAAGATAAGTGGTACCTCAATCCATTGGAGAGAAAGCTGATAAAAGAGAGGAGACCCATTGCTAAAAATGAAGATAAGTCTTCTCCCAGTGTGACAGAAAAAATGCAGGGAAAACCAGTCTGCTCCAAGAAAATGAACAAAAAAACACAGAAGAGTTTAACTGCTAAGTATCAACCAAGTTATAAGTGCATCAAGCCTGTATCAAAGAATTCTAAAAATTCCAAGCAAAATCGAGTGGCCTATAAGCCAATTGTGGAGAAAGAGAATAATTGTTATTCAGCTGAAAATGATCTGAATGCTCCTCGGGTTCTAAGCCAAAAAGTCAAACCACAAGTTACACTCCAGAGTGGAGCCGCATTTTTTGTTAGTAGAAAAAAATCCTCTCTTAGAAAACTGACTCTAGAAAATAAGCCATTACTGGGACTCACCCAAAAGAATAAATCAGAAGTGATTGAAGATTCTGATGAAGAGACTGTCAGTGAAAGAAAAGGTTTTGAGACAAGGCAAGTGCCAAAGTATTTGTTACTAGAAAAGGGACTGAACATTGAGCTGCTGGGTGCAAGAAGTAAAAACGAAGAGAAATTAATAAAGGTAAAGAAAACCAAATATATCACTTTAAACACTAAGTTGGCTACATAACAATAGTTCAGTATACATTATACATATAACATAGTTGAGCAAAATTTAATTTTCTTTGCAGTCTGGAGGACTGCTTTTATGAAGCCAAATAGTATAGTTTTAATCACTGTGAAGAATTTAGAGGCAGGGTGGAAAGATGGGGCTTTTCTCCCTTTTTTGGCTTAAAGAAGCCTACCAGCATTTTCTTGGCATTAAGGTATACATTTCATTAAATTCCCTCATGGCAAAACTAAAGTCTAGAGAAGCTTAACATAACAAAATTCAGGTAGTAGATTTCCAGAGTATGAGCATATTTTTTATGTTTGTTTCAGCTCATTATCTAAGTACTAGATTATTCTTGAAAATTTAGAGAATACAAAAAGTATAATAAAACCTACCTTCTGTAATCCCACTACTTGGAGATGATCACTGTTAACATATAGTTGGGTTTTTGTTTATATAGTATGTTTTCATAGTTGCATTCTATGCTCTTGCTCATATTTAACACACCTAGCGTAGACTAGTGTTGTCTGATAGAAATAGAACACCAACCACATGTAATTCAAAATTTTCTAGTGACCACATGAAAAAACGTACAGGGAAAAAAGGTAAAAAACAAAATGTTTCAGCCAGTATATTTTAAATGTTACCATTTCAATGTAGTCAATATAAAAAGCTATTAATGAGGTATTTTACCTTTTTTTTGTACTAAGTCCTTGAAGTCTGTTTATTTTCACTTGCAGCATGTCTCCATTGGGACAAACCACGTTGCAAATTATCGTTAGCTACTTGTGGCTGGTGGCTACCATAATAGACAATGCAGGTCTATACCTTGTATCGATCACTTCCTATCAGTAATCTCATCAGAGAAAGGTTGTTTTTATCAGGTAGCTAGAGGCAGAAAGCAGTTGAGGCAACAGGCCTTAAGAAAGGCTGTCTGGGGGCCCGCCCCGTGGCTTAGCAGTTAAGTGCGCGCGCTCCGCTACTGGCGGCTCGGGTTTGGATCCTGGGCGCGCACCCACACACCGCTTGTCTGGCCATGCTGTGGCGGTGTCCCATATACAGCAACTAGAAGGATGTGCAACTATGACGTACAACTATCTACTGGGGCTTTGGGGAGAAAAAGGGGGAAAAAAAAAAAAGGAGGATTGGCAGTAGATGTCAGCTCAGGGCCGGTCTTCCTCCCCAAAAAAGGGAGAGGAGGATTGGCATGGATGTTAGCTCAGGGCTGATCTTCCTCACAAAAAAAAAAAAAGAAGAAAGAAAGGTTGTCTGGGGCTTCCATGTCTGTGGTGACTTATTTCTTCTCATCACAACCTTGCAGCTGGAAATGGTAGACTTTCAACGCAGTGCTCAGTACACTCTGAGACTTATGTATTGAGCAATTCAGACTCCCTCTATAGTCATTTCTCTCCTCACCCACCTTCTCTCATTATTGTTCTCCTCATCGCTCCTCTCAAATTCAACCGCAGTTCATACCTCTTGTAGTCATCTAAATTTCAAATCCCAGTGGCAAAGATTATTAAATTGGTGGCCAGTGGACCACATCCAGCCCATGGGTGTTTTGCTTGGCCTACATAATGTTAAAAAAAATTTGAGCCAGCATTTTTTAAAAATATAAAGTAACAGATTTCTGGTGTTTCATGAAAAATTGAGATCTGGCAGAGCTAAGCCCTCATTCCTGCATAGCATTAATTTCTCAGAACAGAGTATCAGGATACCATTTGACAGGTAGGGGCTTCTCATTTCCCTCCACTAAATCAGTGTATGTATACGTATTTAGATCAGGGCAGTTTTGCTTTTAATTTTGCTTACCTGATGCTCTTGTAGTCATTTAAGTTTGCAGTCCCCATTGTAAATGCTTTTTGCTGTTTATCAGGTATTGCCAAGTATATTGTTAAATGGAACATGTTCTTGCTGACTAAGCCACGGTAGTCCAATTCTACTAATTCTTCATGTTGTCTCTGCTGCAAAAAAACACCCCTAAAAAGCATTTAGAAACAGATCTGTTGGGATTCACTCCCTAAATAAAAGACGATTAAGAATTATAATTGGTTTCCTTTATTTTTACCTATTCATTATATTCAGGATTCATCAGGTGGAGTAGTTTCTTCAAGGGAATGTAAAACTCATGAAAATAAGTGTTTTCCTTCAGAGAATTCTCTCAGTGAGAACAAGGCAGGTAAGTAAGAGAAGACTTCTCTTCTAAATAATGAGTTTATTTACCTGTAATAATGCCTCATTACATGTGTCAATATGAAATTATATATAATAATATTTTGGGTTTTTTTTTATATTCAATATTTGTGCCTGTGTTTGTATCTCTGTGTTTGTCTTGGTGACACTGTTTTCTCTGGTAAGTGGTGTAGAGCATTTTGAAAAGGAGGAGACATGGAGACCTTAGGCTGGAACTTAAGACAAAAGACTATTGCTTAATTGGTCTATGGGATGTGGCCAAGTTACTTAAGCTCCTTAGAGCTGGGTGTTCTCATCATACCTGACCTATCTACCTTTTACCCAAAATAATATGAAGGAGTAAAAACAATTTATGTTATATGTTTGTCATCAAAGCCCGGTTGTAATCAGAATTTACTAAGCTATAGAAAGGACACTGAATTGGCCATCAGGAACCTTGGGATTTTGTCTAGGTCTGCTACTAATTAGCTATATGATCTAGGGAAGAGATCTCTAAGGGGTTAGTCTTAATTTTTAAATTCCTTTTGGTTCTGAAATCCTATTACTAACTTATAGTGCCATTGTTCAATTAAACAGTATTTACTAAACTATGAATATATAAAGATGTTAATTAACATTCTACTTACCAACCAGATTCTTGGAACTTTACTTTGTTGATTATATCTATAAATTTGGAAATAAATTATAATTCTAGGAGTAGACATGCTGACTATTAAGAAACTATAGCTCATAGGAAGAAAACAAAAAAAGATAAAACTAAAAGCATAATGTGAAACAATAGCCCTTAAGAAGATCTCATAATATATATATAGAATGATTATTCATAGTGATAATTCTGAGATACACTGTTAGTACTGTTAATAACTAGTATTTACTGGGTGCTGTACCAGGCAGTGCTAGGTATTTAGTATGGTTTATGTTTCCCATGGGTTGTACTATCACTGATATAATAGAACACGTTAACAGAAACATAATAGCTTTCTATTTACAGTAGTTATAAAATTTTCTTTTGAAATAAATTTATTTCAGTACATCGTCTAAGTCCACTTACATAAAAATATTTAGTGCATAAAAAATAATACAGATCGTACAAGGATATGGCAAAATTCGTGAATATAGTATACAAATGATAAAAGTTTATTACTTAATAGCTGTGGTTTATCATTTAATTCTCACAACAATCCTAGGAAATAGGTTTGTATGCCAATTTTATAGATGAGGAAACAGGCTTGCATTAAGGAACTTACCCATAGCAGATCAGACTCGCACCTGTCTTGGCCTTGTATCTAGAGAAAGAGCTCTAATTATTTTTCAATGCAAAGTTACAAGTTTGCTTTTTACTAAATAGCCCACTTTCATCGTATTTTTCTCTAATCAGCTATTATTTTAATTTTGGTATTTTTTTTAATAAGGTTTTTGTTTTGCAATAATTTCAGATTTACAGAAAAGTTGTAAAGATAGTACAGAGAGTTCCTATATATCATTCAGCCTATTTCCCCCATTGTTACCATCTTATAATCACATGGTACCTTTGTCAAAACTAAGAAACTGATATTAGTATATTACTATTAACTGAGCTCTAGACTATTTGGAGTTCACTGGTTTTTCATTAATGTCCTCTTTCTGTTCTAGGATCTATTCATAGTACCACATTGCATTTAGTTGTCATGTCTCCTCAGCCTCCTCTGGTCTGTGACATTTTCTCGGTCTTCCTTGTTTCCATGTTTTTCATGACCTTGACATTCTTTTTTTTTTGTGAGCAAGATCAGCCCTGAGCTAACATCTGTGCTAATCCTCCTCTTTTTGCTGAGGAAGACCGGCTCTGAGCTAACATCTATTGCCAATCCTCCTTTTTTTTTTTTTCCCAAAGCCCCCCAGTAGATAGTTGTACATCATAGTTGCACATCCTTCTAGTTGCTGTATGTGGGACATGGCCGCAGCATGGCTGGACAAGCGGTGTGTCGGTGTGCGCCCGGGATCCGAACCCCGGCCGCCAGTAGCGGAGCGTGCGCACTTAACCACCAAGCCACGGGTCCGGCCCGACCTTGACATTCTTGAGGAGTACTGGCCTGATATCTTATAGAATGTCCCTGAATCTCGGTTTGTCTGATGTTTTTCTCATCATTAGACTGGAGTTATGGGTTTGGGGGAAGAATGCCACTGAAGTGAAGGGTCCTTCTTAGCACATCGTATCAGGGGTGCCAATGTCCACATGACGTTACAGATGATGATAACTTTTATCACTTGGTTAAGATTGGTTTGCCAGGTTTCTCCACTATAAAGTTACTCTTTTCCTTTTCCATACTCTATTTGGAAGCAAGTCACTAAGTCTAGCCTACCCTTTCAGGGAGAGTTGGGGATTAAGTTCCATCTCCTGGAGGGGGAAATATTTACATGTATTATTTGGAATTCTTCTGTAAGGAAGAGTTGTCTCTTCTCTCCCATTTATTTATTCAATCTTTAAATAAATAAATGGACTGATGGATACTTATCAGTATGGACTCATGAATATTTAGTTTGTATCTTGGGTTATAATCTAATACTACATTATTTATTCTATTGCTCAAATTGTTCCAGCTTTGACCATTGGGAGATCTTTTCAGGTCTATTCTCTTTGACATGTCCCATCCTTTTATTTTTTTGAGCACTTCTTTATTTTCTGGCATTACAAGATGCTCCAGGCTCGTCTTGTATTTTCCCTGCCCTAGTCCTAGAATCAGCCATTTCTCCGAGGAACCCTGGATCCTTCTATTGAAGAATAGTATTTAGAAACCACAATCTGGACATGGTGTGCTCGTTGCTACTGAAGTGTTTTTGCTTCTAGGTCCTCTCAGCAGACAGAGCTAGGAAATATATGTATGTATACTAACCCATGTATACACACATATCTGTGATTGTTTCTGTATCGCTCCATCTGTACATATACTAAATAAACATAAGTTCAGACTTGATGTCTCTGACTCTAATCCAGTACCACAGGGTTTATCCCTTCCTTTCTTGTTTCTCTGTAACTTCCCTCAGACAGTGAGAAACCTGATCCCACCATTCACTTCCCACCTATTTAATTGTTCAATCCCAGTATACCTGCAAAACAGTTTCAGAATTGTTAATTCATACTCCTGTGAGAAACAAATTTAGCAATTAGAGTATAATATTTAAGTACAGGTCTTTTTTCCGTAGCCTTATAATTTCCAGTCAAAACACCATTTTGTAAAGTCACTCAGGTCAGCTTCCCTTTCTTCTACCTCCTTCAGTGTAGTTCTGCCATACAGTTCTAATATAGTCAGAGTCAAGAGTCATTTGTCACAGTCTGCATTCCATCTTGGGATCCCTCAACATCATGATTGATTTTTGTTTGTTTGTTTTTACATACATTAAATTTAACTCTTTGTTATATACATGTGTATGGGTTTTGTCCAGTGCATAGAGCCACATATCGACGACTCCAGTACCCTACAGAACAGTTCTCTCATCCTAAAATTTCCCTTGGGTGTACCCTTATAGTCAGCTACTCCTCCCTCCCCCATCCCCCTGGCAACCCCATTCTGCCCCTATGGTCTTTACCTTTTCTGATAAAAGTGTCACACAAGGGGAATCATGCAATATGTAGCCTTTTGGATCTGACTTCTTTCACTTAGTAAAATGCATTTAAGATTCATCCATGTTGTTGCATGTATCAAGAGTTCATTCCCCTTTTTTGTTGAACTATGGATGTTCCATACATAGTCTGTTTATTCATTTCCCCATTGAAGGACTTCTTGGTTGCTTCTCGTTTTTAGCGATTATGGATAGAGCTGCTATCTGACCACACACTCAGTTGCATGAGCAGTGTGGGATAGGTTGAGGAGAGACCAAAGAAAAGACCCGGAAACGGCGAGCAAGATGTATGAGTTTATTGGGACTTAAGTACAGGGAGTCTGGTGGCGACCGACTGGACGAAGTTGTGCATCTACATCTACTACTGTGAACAGAGAGGGGGTTGCTTATATAGGCAGGGGAACAAAGGCTACGTGCTTGCCATGAGGGACTGTCCTTGCATGACCAGCGTTCCAAGGAGTAGTAGCTCATGTGGAAGGGCTCTGTGTTCCTTCAAGACATGATGCTCTTTGAGATAAACAGTACGATACCAGATGGTTGGCGTCCTGCCCAGAAGGGGACCAGAAGGACACATGGTTATGATAGGGCATGTAGACTAGTGCCCCTACAGCTGCTATAAACATTTGTGTACATGTTTTTGTGTGGACATAAGATTTCAAAACACTTGGGTGAACACCTGGAAGCGTGATTACTGGGTTGTATGGTAAATCTATGTTTAACTTTATTAAAAAACTGCCAAACTGTCCCACAGAAACTGCCATTTTGCATTCCCGCCTGCAATGAATGGGAGTTCCTATTATCCTGCATTCTCACCAGCATTTGTTATTGTCAGTTTTTTGATATTAGCCATTCTGACAGGTGTGTAGTGATATCTCATTGTGCTTTTAATTTACATTTCCCTAATGAAAAATGACGCTGAGCATCTTTTCATGTGTTTATTTGCCATCTGTATGTCTTTGGTGAAGTGTCTAATCACATCTTTTGCCCATTTTTAATTGAATTGTTTGTTTTCTTATTGTTGAGTTTTAAAAGCTTTTTTATATTCTGGATACAAGTCCTTGATCAGAAATATGATTGCAAATATTTGCTCCCAGTCTGTGGCTTGTCCTCTCATTCTCTTAACAGTATTTTTTTACACATCAAAAGTTTAAATTTGATAAAGTCCAACTTAATTAATTTTTTCTTTCATATATGGTGCTTTTGGTGATATATGTAAAAATTTATCACCAAACAAAAGTTCATGCAGATTTTTCTCATATTTTCTTGTAGAAGTTTTGTGGTTTACATTTAGATCTATGATCCATTTTGAGTTAATTTTTATATGTGAGCGTTGTCATTTTTTTGCGTATGGTTGTCCAGTTGTTCCAGCACCATTTGTTGACTCTCCTTTCTCCATTGAATTACCTTTGCCTCTTTGTGAAAAATCAGTTGACCGTATTTGCATGGGTTTGTTTCTGGGATCTTTATTTTTTTTATCTTTTTTTTTTTGTGAGGAAGATCAGCCCTGAGCTAATAACATCCAATGCCAATCTTCTTCTTCTTCTTTTTTTTTTCCTGAGGAAGATTGGCCCTCGGCTAACATCCATGCCCATCTTCCTCTGCTTTATATAGGATGCTGCCACAGCATGGCTTGACAAGCGATGCCTCGGCGTGCCCGGGATCCTAACCTGTGACTCCTGGGCCGCCGAAGCAGAGCACGCACACTTAACCGCTGCGCCACTGGGTCGCCCCTCTGGGCTCTCTATTTTGTTCCATTGATCTATTTGTCTGTCTTTTTGCCAATGCCATACTGTCTTGATTACTCTTAAGCCTTGAAATCAAGTAATGTGGGTATTTTGGTTTTATTAACCTTTAAAATCTTTTGAGTTTATTTTGTAATACAAATTATTGTCATTTTTTCCCCCTACCAGTTTCTCCTGAGTCCGTTGTCTATCCCATCTTCAGTGTTTCTTCAGTCAATACAAAAAGGTAGGGATTGCTCTTATTTTAATGTTCAAAGTTTATTTAATTATGAGTCTTCTGGGTCTTTTTTTCTTTTTTATACTATTTAATTTGGAGAACATTTTTTTCTTCCTCACTAAGGGGATATTGATAATAGGAGATGAAATCAGACTCTCTTATAGAAACTTCATAAGAACCTAAGAGTTGAGAGAAGGAAAAGATCTTTATGGGCTTGAGTAATAATAATTGCTAACATTTTTATACAGTACCTAGCCCATAATAAGTAGTTTATATCCATTATCTTACTTAATCCTCACAGCAACCTAGAAGGTAGATACTATTATTAATTCTATTTTCAGCTGAGGAAACTGTTAAGTAATTTAGCCACAGTTGCACAGCTATGAGGTGGCAGAGCCAGGACTAGAATCCATATCTGAATCAAAGCCCATTAGGCTATATTGCCTTCCCTGGGTGATAATATTAATAATAGTTAATGTTTAATGAGCATTTACAACCTCATGATGTAGGTACCATTATTACCCCATTTTATAGATGAGGATACTCTGGCCAGAGGAGTAAGTAACTTGCAGCAGCTTAATGCTTTTATAAATCCCGGCTGAAGCTACCACTATCCTGGTCAAAGCTGAGACTAGGATCAGGGAGGCAGGGGTGAGTGTGAGCATGATAGGTGGAAAAGCTACGAAAAAGAAGTTTCTTATAGTCTCAACATCTTCCTAAGCAGCTTTGATTCTTCTCTCCCCGTTTGATGATAAATAACTGGAGGTATTGAGCAAGGAACTTCCTAACTAAGTTCTCTTACTCTTGGGGCACCTCATCTTAAATCACCTTAGAGATTGGGTTGGGTGGACAACTTTTCCCCTTCGAAGGCCATATTGCTGTTTTTTTTCACCTTTCCCTTTTCTTATCTATGTCTTCTTTCATGACTTTATTGAGGATTGAAACCTACCACAATTAGCTGATAAAAGTGTGTAAACTAATTTAATCTAGCATAAGGAGATATTAGGATACTATTGGTTGAATCATTTGAAATTGCTCTCTGTGTAGGACCCAAAAGGTCAGATATCATCAATGTCTTCTGGTTTAATCTATTACTTGTATGTTGGGTAGATTACAGATTCTCCAGGTTCATGGTCTCACATTCATTTTTTGTTTATTCAATCATTTGGCAAACATTTATAGAGTACTATGTGGTGTTGAACTATACTGAGTTTTAGAGATATGAAGAGAAATAGCACATGATCCTGCTATCAAGGGAGTTATGGTTAGAAGAGGACAGGCGTTTAAACAAATATGTATAATAAAGTGTTAAAATTGCAAAGATAGCAGTAAAGAGATTGTGGTCATGCACACAAGGATGGGAAGAGCTGAGTTACTTAGCAAAGGTTGCATAAAGAGAAGGGGATCAGCAACCTAGATGACTGTTTTTTATATTACAGGTATGTACGTACCATTAGTAGTTTGTCAAATCAGTTTAAGGGCATCATATCCAGCATTTTTTTGTGTGTGTGTGAGGAAGATCAGCCCTGAGCTGACATCCATGCCAATCCTCCTCTTTTTGCTGAGGAAGACTGGCCCTGGGCTAACATCTGTGCCTAGCTTCCTCCACTTTATGTGGGATGCCGCCACAGCATGGCCTGACAAGCGGTGTGTCAGTGCGCGCCCGGCATCTAAGCCCGGGCCGCCAGCAGCGGAGCACGAGCACTTAACTGCTACGCCACGGGGCCGGCCCCCCAGCATTTTTTCAATGGAATAATGCATCTCACATAGTAAGTGTAGTTAAATATATGTGTCTGTATTGATCATGATGTAAAATATATCTCTTACCATAGGTTTGTCAAGTCAGTTTGAAAGCCATTCTTCTAGTCAAATGATAATAGGACAGCTTGGCTCAGCTTAAAGAATTAGACAGTTTTTTCCTACTGTTTTCTTGTCAGGTTTTTTTCTGTTTGAACCTCTTGCTTTGGGCGCTTAGTTTTTCTCCTTGCCTCTATTCTGTAGAGATTTCTATTCCTTTGGTCCTTTGAAAACCGAGGTCTTTTCATCATAAGACAAGGGTTACACATTCATTGCCTGCAGAGCCAGCCAGCCTGGGCGGAGCCTTGGAGCCAGCTGGAGAATGCATGCCCCATCTGAAAGAGCATGTGCTGTTGAGCTCCAACTAGTAGATTCTTTGAAGAAATAGAGGTTTAGTGATCTTATAGTGTCTCTTGCACTGTTGGAAATACACATTTTTAAGTGAAATCTCTAGATTTTAAAATATCGATAGCTAATCCAAAGTTTTAAACACTATGTGAGCCTGTCAAAACATATCTGCTAGCTGTGTTTGGCCTGAGGGGCTCCAGTTTGCAACCTCTATAAGCCAATCCCAGCATTCTTTCTTATTGGGAAAAGGTTGCCTTAACAACATCTATCTAGGCAAAAAAAAATTTTTTTCCTAAGAATTTGAGAATAGTAGGGTGCTGCTTTAGGTATGAGAACTCACTGCTCAAGTAAAAAGTTGTTGGATCATAATATGCTGGTGACTGGCTTCCTGTGCATCTGTGAAATTCAATATTAGAGTCTAGTTAATATTATTTGCTGTGGTATTCCAGGAATTTATTTATACTTGTGTAGGTAAATATTGTCCTAAGATTTAATAAAGTAACAAAGATCATTTTTTAAGGATATAGTCAACTTACAAAGAGATCCTGCACATGTGCATCTGATACTGTAGATGAAAGTCCCTTGGACTTGGAGTTAGAAGATGAGGATTTGAGTCTTACTGCCATTCTTTACTAGTTACTTTACCTTGGGTAAATTACTGATCCTCTCTGAGTGGACCTCAGGTTTCTCATTGTTCCTGGCCCTATTACTTCATGAAGTTTTTTGTTTAATTTAATTTAATTTATTTATTTATTTTCCTCCCCAAAGCCCCAGTACATAGTTGTATATTCTAGTTGTTAGTCCTTCTAGTTCTTCCATGTGAGCTGCTGCCATAGCATAGCTACTGACAGGCGAACCTGGGCCACTGAAGTGGTAAGAGTGTAGAACTTTAACCACTAGGCCATCAGGGCTGGCTCAACTTCATGAAGTTATTGTCATTAGAAGACACTAAAAATTGCAAGGTGCTCTGCAAATGTTATATACATACGTTTTCTTTTCATTGTAATTTCTCAAAAAATTTTAAATTATTAAATAATGTTTATCAACTTTCTATTTCAAGATCTCTAGTTGAAGAACAGTCTTCTCTGGGATCCATCATATCTACTAACTTTTTGAAACAGATCAACACACAGAAAAGTACTAATACCAGAGATACAAATAAAGAAACAAAAGACCAGCTCATCATTGTGAGTAAATTTAAAACAAAGCTCCTCATGTACTTGGCTCTCACATATAGAACATGAAATCAGACATGTTGTCTTAGCATAGTTGACATGGGTTATATATTCTGAGTTTTGTAAATACCAGCTTTGTTGTAGTGGCAGCATTTAAAGCTAGTCAAGTACATTTTCAAACTGATGCTGTTGGGCAATGCTAGTAATTTTGTGAATGCTGATGAATGAGTTGTTTCCAGATAAGGAAAATTCTCATTGATCAACAAAAGATTTAATGAGAATAGCTACATTGTGTTAGACTTGGGTTTGGCAAACTATGGCTGTGGGCCAAATCTAGACCATGGCCTGTTAGCTAAAAATGGCTTTTACATTTTTAAAGGGTTGGAACAAAAAGAAGAATATGTGACAAACCATGAGTGGTCTGCAAAGCGTAAAATATTTACTTTCTGGACCTTTGCAGAAAAAGTTTGCCAACCCCTATATCAGATAATTCAGAACCTGGTATTTTCAGTAGCGTTGAGCAATGCCTTATGAGACAGAACAGGAGTTTAAAAACCATGACATTGAATATCCCTGACTTCCCTATATTCATAAATTTGTCTGTGCTTTTCCTAAACTTTTACCATGTATTATTTTATATATATATATGTATACACATTTTTTTTTTTAAGCTTCAGTGCATGGTTGTGTATCCTAGTTGTTAGTTTTAATTCTCTATGTGAGCCACCACCACAGTATGACAACTGACAGATGGGAGGTGTGGTTCCACCACCAGGAAACGAACCTGGGCTGTGGCCGTGAGAATAGCAAATCTCAACCACTAGACCACCAGGGCTGGCTCTATATTTATTTTTTATCAACTTGAGGGGCAAAGGATTTTAGTATTCCTAACCACTTAAGGAAAAAATACTATATAATGAATATAGAACTCCTCAAATTTTTGCCCTGCCTTGAAATAAATAATAAAAAGCCTTGAAATAAGGCTTTTTTAGGTCTCATTTAAGAGCTTTTTTTTTTTTTTTTTTTT